GAAGCGAGGGGGGGGTGACAGCGAATTAGAGTCTGTAGCCCCGTGTTACTGTCTTGTAAACCCAAGCAGATGATGTGAGCATCTTCCACTGCATGCTCCTTAGAGCCAGTGGAGATGTCACGTCTCTTCCCCTCTGAGTCTCTATTTGTTGTGTTATGGGGCCCTCTAGTGTCTGAACACAGTGGTGCCCCTTTTCGACAATCCCCACCGACACTGCGCATGCGCATGACGGTGATGCCTTCACAACCCCAGCCGGCACTGCGCATGCGCGTGGCGGTGGTGCCTTCACAGACCCGCCTGTAATCCGCCTTTTGAGAGATGCCGTAGCTGCTCTCAGAAGGGGAACAGTTGACGGGCTGTTTATTGGTTTTATTGTTTTTCTTTTCATTTTTTTTTAACTGCGCCCTCGGCCTGAAGTCTGGATGCGTCAGCGGTAAATGTTTTATGACAGAAAAATCAACAAATGTGTGACATGTGTTTGTGCGGACTTGAGGATGGTGTTGAGGCATCTCTCGAGGCGGCGGGAACACATTTAGAGCTGGGGAACCGTGGATTTCCAGCTCTGTCACAGAGGGGAGAAGGAGGGACTGTCACGCCGCTCGCTTCTTCTTCCTCGAATGCTGGCCGAAATTCTGGGTTGGCTGCGCCTGAGCTGCATCCGGAACCGGAGATTTTCTAGGCCAGCTCGCCCTCGTCTCCAGCCTGGGCTGGGGACTCAGGGCGGGCTGCGACCTCTGCGTCTTCGGTGTTTTAAACCGAGCAGGGTTCGAGGCAGCTTGGGCGAAGGACTGCTGCTGCGAAGGCAGCGGCTGGACCCTTCGAGGGAGGCAGAGGTGGAGTGCCTCGTCCTCCTTCTTTTTTGACTCACACCTCCTTTGCATGGAAGCAAGAGCGGAGCCGAAAATTCCCTCGGGAACGATGGGCATGTCCAGCACATCCTCCTTTTCCCGGTCTGGGAGGTTGGTGAGGTTGAGCCATCTCGCTCTTTCCTGCACCACCATGATCCCCATTGCCTTGCCCGTGGCCTGGACGGCGCAGCGTTGGACACGAAGACAAATGTCCGTGACCGCTGCCATCTCGTCCAGAGTGGCTGCCCCCGGGTTACCCGACAGGTCCTCGCAGAGCTCCGCTTGGTAAGCGGTTAGCAGCGAGGACACATTCAGGGCCCTGGCGGACAACGCTGCGGCTTTGTAGGACCGTTCAGTCATTGTCGACTGAAATCGGTCCGACTTTGCTGGCAGCGTGGGGTTCCTGCTTGGTGACGGGCCCATCCTCGGTAGGAGGTGGGCCGCTACCAGCGGTTCCATGGGCGGTATGCGGAGCAGGCCAAGCTTCTCCATTCCGTCACAGTCTAGGGAGGAGGCACCCTGGATTGGGACCTTGTTGCTGAAGGGCCGGTCTCTCCACGAGACCGACACCTCATCCAACATCTCCGGGAAGACCGGAAGGAGTTGCCTCTTTGTCCGCGCTGCTTGGGGAAAATGTTTCCCTTCGTAGCGGGACCTGGAGGTCTCCTTGGCCATTTCAGGCCACGGGATGTCGAGTCTGGCCGCGGCGCGTTTACACACGGCCTGCAGGTCCATGCTCAGACAGGGCGAAGCTGGTGTGCTATCGCCCGGGAGAGCAGCCCTCGCTCCAGGCTTTGCAGCCTGAGCCGATGACATGAAGATGTCTTCTTCATGTTCATCCGACTCGGACAGGAGGAACACCGAGGCGTCCTCTTCGTCCTCATCGTAGTCCAGCTCGAGGACATCCTCCGCGGGTGAGACCATGGTGAGGTCTAACCGGGAGCCCTAGCTCGGTAAAGCGTGGGGTCCCGTTCCCGCGTGTTTTGCCGTCACCGGGTCCCGGCCTGCCAGGGCGCGGGATTCCGGTTCTGCAGCCATCGCAGATAATGAGCCCCAGACCGACACGGAGAGGGGTTCACTCTCTGCGGCGGACGCCCCCGCGTCTTGACTGCCGGCCGGCAGGTCAGTGGACATGGGGGGGTCCTGCTCCGACAGGCTAGCTTGGCGTGCTAGCCGTCGGCGGAGGCTCTTCACGGTGAAGCGGACACAATGTCCGCACGAGCCGGGGTTGTCGATAGCGCCTCGGGCGTGTTCCACCCGAGGCAGGACGAGCAGACCTGGTGTGTGTCTGTGCCCGAGATCTTCAACCCGCAGCCACAGAGTCGAGCCACCGAGTCCCTGACTCCTCTGGTGTGAGGGAGAGAGGCGTCCATCTTGTTCGCCTCGTGGCGTGGAGAGGACCCGCTCTCAACAGGTAGGTTGGGAGAAAAAAGGTGTTACCACCCTGTCCTTAATCCGGAGAAAAGGACGGTGTGGGTCTTTTATTCCCGGAGAATACTGACTGGTGTGACAGTATGCTCCTTTAATCCTTTCCTCCTCCATGGGGAAGAGAAAAGAAAAAACTTCCTCGCTACCGTAGTATTACCGTCGGAGTAGCCGGCGAGCGCCCGTCGACCGAAATGGTTATTTGGGTTCAGTCTGTGGACCGTTAAGCTTGTCCGGCTACTATAGAGATGTGCTCTGAAGCGAGAAGAGGTGTTTGAATGACGCATGCGTCGTGGCGCAAGCTACTTATAGGGGGTGAATTCCCTGACGCTGACGTCAAGATCACCAGCCAATCAGGATTGGCGTAATGAGATTGATGCTTCTGTTTGCTCCGCGATGAGGCGCATCCCATAGTGAGACATCGAACGGAGTGTTATGAATGAGAACTGTCTGTACATGTATATCACCATACAAAAAAAACTACTCCTGATGCAACATAGAAAAATATATATTATAGTATTTTATAATAATTGAGGCATTAATGTGCAATTGTTTCAGCTCATAAATCGGGGATCATTTTGTATGACTTTACCCTGATCTATATTTCCCGACCAATGTTTGATCTTATTTAAATCTTTAATAAAGCAACATTTATTTGCTGATTTTATTTTACAATGAACATGTGAATTTGTACGATTACTTAATTACTCTTAATGTAGTGAAACATTTAACTCTGAAGTGGAGTAGAAGTATAAAGGAGGAAATACTCAAGTAAAATACAAGAAGCTCAAGGTTTTATTAGTACTTGAGTAAATGTACTCAGACGCTTTCCTCCACTGATCTGAACTGAACTCGTCCTTGCCTTGAATACTGTATGTTCTCTTCATGCATGTTCGAAATAAACACTTTTATCAGCACACAGGCGTTACTTCTCTCACAGCAGATGGCAAATCGTCATGGATACAGGCCTCACACTTACTGTGTAGTTTGCACTCCAGCGTTTCTCACTTCACAACTGAGCGGCTGTTAAAATCTGTGTTTAATATATCCGAATAAGACTCACTTTTCCTCAAGAGATTTTTACCACTCCAGTATCAAATCCTGGGTGCCGTCATTTACTCTCACATTATGTTCGAGACTGTGGTATTATTTAAGTTTGAAAACATTAGTCCTCCGACAGCCAAGTAAGCCCTTCTCAAAACCCCGCTCTTAAAGATGAGCCTTTTCTCGAGCCACGGCATGGGACATTATCCAATTAGGGAGGAATCAGCTAGGTCAATTTGCCCTTCTCCCCCTTGATGGCTACACGTCCACATGCATGCTAATGCCTCTCGGAGGTGAGCTGTGACAGTGGCGGATGACTAATGTAAAGATCAGGATGCCCAGGAGGTTAGCGGTGGAAGATGACATCACAGGTCAACGGGCTAACGACATTTAGCACAGATAAGATTCACAGTCGTGGTGATAATGATAACACCAGGCCTATCAGAGTGACAGAGTGCTCAGGGAAAAATGCCATCAGCAAAATGTCAATGCGTGACTTGGGTCCCTGAAGAAGCTAAAGGCAACTTCTCCCTAGCGCTCGATTACGTGATTAAATATGAATGTTTATGGGATGTGAGGTAATAATCTAATAATGTGCCAGTGGAAGAAAACCACAGGGTTTTCAGCTTTACATTATGTAACGCATACTGTAAGTTAAACTTCCTTGTCAATACGAACAGTCATTATTTGTATTCCAGCGATTGAGGTAAGTTACCATGACATATTGCAACATCTTTATTCTGTCCCATCAGGCTACAGGCAATGCTGCATGTTTGCATTATTGACTTTGGTAAACGGAGTCTTCTCAAAGCTTGTATTTCCAATGTTGATTGCCCCTAATGGCGGACTCAGACCTTGTTACAAGCAGCGCAGCCCATTTAAAAGTGTTTTGCCTATAAATGACCTTGCAACCGTATCATTACCTTTTTATAGCCTGCTTTCTGCCTTTGTAATGTAGTAAATTACCACGTCCACTTTTCACAGGTGACTTCAAGCCTATTGCTTCTGCCTTACAGTATAGTCACCCATCAGTGATCTCATCAGTCATTTCAGTATTAACAACTGAACAGAGCTCAGCAGTTATACATTGTCAGCATAAACTGGATATCTTTTCAACCTGTCTGTTTGTACTAATTTCAATGCATGCATATTTAGGAATTAGTGTTGCAAATGCAGACGAGATATGTACAAACACTTCATCACCTTGCTGTTTTGTTATCTGCCTTGGGGCATATTTCCTGGCTTTGCAGCTAATTAGTGAGATTCATTGATTAAATCCAGTAAACACAGCCCCTAATTAAAAACATTAGATGAATGTGGAGGTCGGAGGAGCAGTACATTACTGTGAATATCACATATAGATTTTCCACATGAGGCAATGAAATGTAAAGTATAGGCAGGGGGACCAGATGAGTATGCGGAAAATTCAGTATGGCCTCCCGTACATTAAATTCAGTGTCAACGATCATGATCAGTAAAACAAACATGTTTAAGAATATGAACGACTTTTGTTCAAGAACATAAAAACAACCTTCTGTCCTCAGAAAGAGAACACAATGCATGCAACAATGTTTTTATCATTATTACTTTTTTGTTGAATGGTAAGTCACTGTTTCAAACAACGTCCTTGGATGGTTTGATTTCCATCTTTAAATGGCTTTATTATGAAATGATGCCGCTTACTGTTATTGCTGTTGTCGTCCACCAGGATTATCTCTTTGAGAAGGTGGGAGGGCGTCCTGTTGATGGCAGAGTGGATGGACCGCAGGATGACGGAAAAGGCTTCATTCACAAAAATGAACACGATGCTCACTTGAGGGAGGTTTAAAGGGTAAGTGAGGTTCCTACACCTGTGGAGGACAGACACAAAACAAATGGTAAGGCATGGTTTTGTCTGTAGGATAACAGGGTAACATGGTAGCAGGTTGATGGCAGATGTTATGCTAACCCAGCCACTTGCGGTGTATAGCAGGAGATTTTTTTAAGACATCAGTATAAATGTAAGACTGGCATTAGTTCATGTCCAGCAGATATTTGGATATTTAACAATAAGGCTGCTACTGCAATAGTGGTGTACCTGGAATGCAGTTTGGTTTAGGAGGAATATATATAATTGGATGTGTGGTTGGGTTCTAGAATTAATCTAATCTCTTTTGCTACTGCCTCCACTTGCTGTCATTTTAATTGTGAAAAAGGAGTTCAGCTTCTTCTCTCAAGAGGAAACTGATACCTGTTTCCTGGAAATGAAGAAAAAGGAAGCTATACAAATATGACTAATGCTGCAGGCAATTTCAATTTGAGTTTAAATTACAGCCTTTGAAATGGAAATCATAATGTTTTCTGTGTGTAATGACACAAATACGTTTTCTTCCTCAATAACACAATGAAGATTGTGGTAACAAAATCTGGGGCAAGCTCCCAATAATAATCATTTGAAATGACCATATAATTTAATTGTAAAAAGTGAATTGTGGTAAGAATTGTGACATTTTAACAGTTTTTAGTCCTGCCTGTAAAATATATTGTAATCCCCATGCTGTAACTACACCACGCTGCCAAATGCCTGCTGGATTCACAGAATGCCGAGATTACTACTTTTAGGAAATGCATGCTAAATGTGTATCCCCCAGGACAGTTTTGGATGTTTTTACAGAGCCAGCATGAGTGGGAGTGGTCTCACGGGATTTTAGCGATGTGCAGTTGAGAAAAATACCCTGAAGATCGATGAACTGTGTGAACCTTTCCACCAGGATGTCACTTTGTGCGCTCCTGTAACATGTGAACACGAGAGCTGTGCTGAAAACAGAGTCAGATTGCCGATGTGGTGTGAGCAATTCTCTGTAAAGACGTTGGTGTATTGACTTTACAGGATTGCTTTTCGTCCAGGGATTAATCAAAGTGCCCAGAGTGCACACATAATTGCACACGGCTTTGAAAATATTAATTTACAGGCTGCTGAGGAAACAAGCATTTTTCCCTGCCACCTTCAGCTGGCCGCAGGGGTTTGAGTCAGATATCGGTAGAACAAAAGTCACTCTTTAATTAATCCTACAACAAAATATAGTTTGCTAAGCAGCAATAATGTACTTAATACTGTAGACCGTTTTCAATTAGACACATTTGTGTTTGATAGGAAACCACAAAGTGCTTTGAATGTGCTCTAAACTTGCCTTTATTTATGACTGAAAAGTTAATGCTCATCAGATAGAGAGAAGAGGAGAATTTATTATTATTATTATTATTATATATAGTTAGCAAAATCTTTTTTTGACTGTTGATTGAATAAAGATAATGTGTACACAAGAAATTGGCTCTGGGAAATTATACTCAATGTTTTATATCTGAAATTCTGACAAAAAAAGGTAAATCAACAAAGAATTTAAAAAAAGGCTTGAATGACCCCATGACCTTTTAGCTAGCACACCACGGGGTCGGTCTAGCAGTCCAATTGTAGTTGTCCCCAGGGGGAAAATCGGTTGTGGATTCAAATTAAAAGTTCACATTCTCCCTCTGGATACATTTTAATCACCAGTGTGATTACTGTATGTTGATCTATTGCCATCATCGGGTCAACATCCTAGCAAATACTTCAAAACTAATGACATCCCCTTCAGCCTCAGCTGCAGTTTGTGTTTGTTAGCAAATGTTCATAAGCTCACATGCAACACTAAGGTGGTGAACATGATATAAACACAATGCCTGCTTGATATCAGCCTTGTCATTATAAGCATGTCATCATGTTGAGTGCAGCCTTTCACTTGAAGCACAGAATAACAAGACCTCTTGCACGACCGTAGATTCGTTTTTATCATTAATGTGATGTAGTACCTTCATTTTCCAATCATAATTATATATTATAACCGATTGCTATCATAATATATTTATACTGTGATAGAGGAATTAATTAATCATATTACCCACAACTACATATGTTATGTGAAGACACGACCCATCAGTTCAACAAGAAAGCAATGAAAGCATCAGAGAAAAATACGAATGACTAAATGACAGGATCATTTATACTGTGACTCTATGGTAGCATGTATGTACTGTAGGACAGTGTTGAGCACCATTCTACCTGCAGTCTTACCCATCAGGCCTGAGGTCTGGGATTGGCCTGTCTAAAGAGAGTCGATCACTGAGGTAGCCGTTGTATCCGTAGTACTGGAACATCTTCAATGCCACCCGCTGGTTGTCCGGGCCGAGCTCCTGACCCCAGTGAGCGAACAGCGATGAGTCGGAGAACGATGTGTCCGCCTGACTGTCCTCTCCCTTCCCTGGAGTCTCTAGGAGGCACAGGAAGACAAAAAAGCATGAATATTTGTCCAGGACAATCTTTCTAAAGCACAGGGTTTGCGTAAGGTGATATTAAAGTGATGTAGAAAAATGATATCCCTAATATAATCACCGTGATGAATGTTGCTTTGTTAGCAGGTGAAGGGTGGCCTTTTATTTCCAGAGACTGATAGGCATTAACAGAAACACCAGAAGTTCATACTGTCAAAGGACGAGAAGCTCTGGTGTCACCAAAACAAAAGATCCCTACTAGCAGCTGGTGGGATGTTTTGTAGCTGACATTGCTATTCGACCGACTCAGAGAAGAGAAAGTAAAACGAATTTACCTGAAAGTATCGCAATATACACACACAAGCTTTCTTTCATAATTAATAAAGTGATTTTCTTTGGAGAAAGTAAACAAAAAAAGTGATTGTTTATGCACTAGAACAGGGCTGAAACCTTATGGGTTCAAGATGAGTGCAGTTGACTCATTATATAGCTAAACAGCACTGACAGCACTCGGAGCAGAGACATCTAACAAACACACATTTGGTGTGACACACAGTATATTACTTTTTGTGGTGCTTGTTGATAGACTCTGTTCATGTCCAGACTCCATAAAACAATGCTGGCATCTGTTAAAAATTCTGTCCTGCTTCCAAGAGGTCTTAATGCACTTCAGAGGCAAACTTCTGAGTGAGCTGAGCTTAACAGTCCGGGAGATTTAACCACAGGCAAGTGGTTTTCATGCAATATAAAAGTATATAAAGTCGATAGTTTCTTGAATAATATAAAATAATTTACCTCAACTGCACTTGCATGATTACAGTCTAGCTTTCAAATGTCACTGATCGTTTTGTCTTTTGCATTGCAAATTAAATGGGCAAAATCTCCCCCAGGTTTGTCATTTAAAACAGTCAATTCATTGACTCAATGTACCTGTTGGAACATTATGCTGTGTTTCAATCGTGTGCTGCAGTAAGTCTGAATATTGCAGAGCTTTTGCAGAACTTTAGCATTATTGAGAAGCACAGTGGAATCTATCATCTGTGAAAATATGGGGGTATGGGTGAAAGGCTGCTTGTGGTAACCAGGGAAATCTCTGGAATATTATTTCATGAGTACTAAGATTGCTGACAAGAGTAAGATTTATTATTTTTTCTTCAGAACTGTATGGAAAAAAACAAGCTAACATTTATACAATATACACTTCTAGAAAGAGATTTAATAAGAAAAAACAAAAAAAATACCCTAATTGAAAACGATGGAGTATAACTGAATTACATGCCATGGACGATTATTGTTAATTAAAATGTCTAAAGAGGAACATGTCACCAGGAAATGAATTCTAATCAAAATTGGTGCTGGTATCATCCGTTAATAATTTAATTAAAATCTAATGCACATGTCCCCTGGAGCATATTGAAGAAATACAACACATTTCATTATGTAGCCACATTATTTCAGCTTATAAATATACTTAACAGTTGTTTTATCGTTTTCAGAATAAAATTCAAGCAAGTAAAATATTGATTATAATTTGTTCTCCCCCTTTAATTAAATATGTGTCATATCTGGGTTTTTTCTTCTGTTTTTGTCGAAACTATTGTAAATTCATATTTCAATATTAAATTTGAGAACATGACAAAGGCTAAAATGTGGAAGCTAATATCCTTTTCAAAGTTTAGAAGGAATTAAATAGTGAGAAATGAACACAAACAAAGGAGCCTTACATGAATAAAAGAGGTAAAAGAAAAAAGGCTTTGAGTGCTCAGCGACACTCGGGCCAAAGACAAGGTTAATGTGTGCGTGTTTGTGTGTATGAAGTATGCATGTGTTTTAGGCAGATTGGGGGAGATTAATATTCATGAGCAGATTGTTTTTACATGCAATGACAAACAGACAGTCGGGGAAGAACTAAAACAACAATATGGAGGCAGGGATTACATTAGGACAACAAAAAAAACTGCTTCTGAAAAGAAACACACACCTAATGTCTTTGGAAGTTGAAGGAAACTATTGTGTTGGTTACAGGGGTTTCTATCCTGTAAGAAATAAAATGCAAAGCCTTTCTTACACATGTGGTGAAGAGGACATGTTTATATTGACCCCAACACTGAAGCTCAACTTTAGAAAATCTGAGCATTGTTAAAGCCTGACTGAAAACACAACTCTAAATGAATGGTAATGTTGCTCCGTAGCTGCTGCAACAAATGTTTGCTATCTGCTACACTGAGAGGAAAACATTTACCATTCATTGGTCAGAGAGTGATTTATAAAGCGATCAATTATAATAATTATTATAGGCTAATTGTTTATATTCAAGGAATCAAGAGATAATAGGGTGAAGAGTTTTCGGGAGGTTTGTGTGATAATATACAGAAAGAGCAGAAAAGAGGGAGTTGCTTGTGTTCCCGGTGGTGTGCTGAAGGGCCGACTATGAAGCGATATGATCCTCTGTTCTTTTGCTATATATGAAACAGCTAACCCATCTCTGTCCAAAAGTTACACATTTTGCCTACCAGTTAATCCCATTCTGCCAACCATTTAATGCATGGCAAAAAGCTGAACCAGTTAGGGAAGTGGTATCAATCTCTAGCCATTATCATTAACCAATTTAAGGAATATGCAGGGCAGAAGGTACCAATACCTTTGGCCCAGTTCATGGTTGTTCCAGTCTGGTTTTAAATTGTTAGCTCTAAATGGTGAGGTACTGTGTACAATTGCTAATAATGTATTCAATGGAACATTTTTCTAAAGTAAATCTTGTTTTCCTATGATAATCCATCCATATCGATCATTTACACACATTCCAAGGACCTAGCTGTATTCAAGAGAAAAATACTAAATCAAAAGTGAACCAACATCCAAGATGACAGAACAGCGCACAGCAAACAGGACGAGCCTGAGGGGGAATGACTTCAACTCTGCACATTAAACAGTGTTGAGTTTCAGCGCTGTAGCAGAGGTGAAGTGCCGCTTGATAGGACAACACCGTGATTAGACTAAGGACATGATAGAAGTTCTCAAAGACTTTCAATCATGGGAAGTACGCCTGGAGGCTCATTTGTTTCACTGGTTGTAATGGTGATTAATTAGACCTTCAGAGACCGTTTCCTCAGCGGTCATCTAGCAGCAGTTAGAGCAGGTGTTGATTAGACAGGGTTACACAGGCGACGTAATCCATTTGGTGTGTCGGTGCAGGTAGAGAAGATGGTTGACAAACATGTTAGTACCTATGGTTAGTACAACCTTTGTTAAATGGGTTACGATAAATGACAGAATATGTCACATGACTTGCTCTTTATCAAACAGGTGAATTATGGTAACCTTGGTGTTTGGAGAGTGGTTTCCTCTTGAGTGCACATTCAGTCAACTAACCTTGGTGCCAAGTCAAGTAAAGCACAGCAAAATACCTGAGGCAAAAACGAGTGTGTGTGTGTGTGTAGATAGGTGAAGTAGTCCCTAAGCTTCCCAGCAGCACTCTAGGTGTGAAGTGCAGCAGTAATGCTTCGACAGTGAGGCAACTGAGTTATAGCCGTCTGCTAGCACAGTTACAGAGGCAGTAGAAAGGATATGCAACAATGTACACACTGACAAAATTGAATCACGGGAGACCAAACAAAGACACTTAGCAAAGAAGTTGCTGAAAGAGAACAATATGCCTCCAGTTATACATGAACTACTTTTTAGAGGCACAGCAGTGCATTATACATTATTAAATTAGATCCTTTTAAAGATAGTTCAATGAAACTGCCCAACAATGCAAAAACATTTGCATCAAATTATATTCAAGCATCTTCTTCTGTCTGTAAAAAAGAAAATTGCTGTTTTTACCACCTCAGAGAATATTCCTGTAGATAACGCCAGCTCACCGTGGTACAGATGTAGAATTTTGATAAAACTGCTTTGGGCATGAATTTGTAGCCGGCCTCTCCATACTCTAAAACTATATTCCATAAGAGGGAGGAGGGAAGAGGGAAGCATTTGGCTGTAACAATTTTAGTGGAAATCAATAAAGGTTAAAATCTCGGTTGAGAAATCTTTACAGAGTAGCAGAATCAGTGAGTCCGTTTTCTCAGAGTAGTAATTCTTAAAAGCAGACCTAAGGTCTTAAGTAATGCATTTATTTAACACAGATGGCTCTTCTTCCAACACACTTGTAGAGAGTATAAATGTGAAGCTTGTTTTTTTCTAACTTGGCATATTGCAGGTGAAGAGACTGGTTGAACTGTGATAACATTTCTCTTATCTTGCAGTGACATACAGGAGGTGAGTCAGGCTTTCATCTCGTTCGGTTGCTTTCTTCAACATTTGAGCTGCAGGAAATAGGACATTTTGCAGGTAGACTCCTACAATAACTCTTGTTAAATCACACAATCATATACTCCTGCTTTATCGTCTCTGCACTGGCAACTTCTGAGGTTTTTAATCATTGTTTAAGATTTAAATGATCGCAGCATTGCCTTGTTTCAAAAAACCTTCTGGTTCATTTAAAGTTTGTTCATATTATTCAAAGAATGTATGAAGGTCTGCTATTCCTCAGACTACATTTCCGGTGTCAAAATCTTTGTTTTCTGTTTCTCTATATTGATTTTAAAGAGATTCTTAGACACTGTATATACTGTATGTTATACTCCCTTTCCTACTGCATGGTATGGCAGAGTTGGCTAAATGCAGTACACTGCTGTGCTTTGTCTCAATCATTTTGAGATTCCTTGCATCCCAACAGAACTCTCACAGTGATACAGAGCAACAAACGCAGAGGTAGTCACTTAAGACGGCTGCTGTGGAAGACACAGGTATTTAACTACTAACCAAAAATGACAAAGGAACATTGTGTTAATCAGATGAAGATCCCCGTTTGACCTTCAACTAAAAAACTATTTAAAAACACGCCTGCAGTTCTTAGTTTCACAAGTGTTACTTTCTGTAAATTCCCTCCAATTACAGCAGACAGTTTGCAATGTATGTGTAGTCACTATGTCATTTTACATCCAAAATAATG